AAATTGAATAAATAAAAACTCATGACTCGAGAACGAGAAAAAAAAAAATTATTTAAAGTTTCGTCTAAACAATTTTTAAAAACCAAAAAAAAGTTAAACGGAAAATTTGATACATATGCGACAACTGGATGATTCTTACCTTCCTCGTACAATTCCGCGGTAGCTGTACTTTGTGAAACATCAGCAGTTTAACTACGCCGGGCTAAACCTCGGTTGTAATGGAGCCACACAGATCCGAAATCAAATACAGTACTGCCTGATCGGTCTGCCCTAGAAAAAGGGGATGCCTGCAAATTAAATATTAATAATAAAAAAAAAAATAAAAAAATAAAATAATAGACATTATTTTCACATACATACCTAACTACCATCTCCGCCAGCATACAGCCAGCGCTCCACATGTCAATGCCCGCCCCGTAGCTAGTGTCGCCGAGTAGCAGCTCTGGCGCTTTGTACCAGTGCGAGACGACTTTATTGGTGAGACGACAATCGGCCCAAGTGTCCCGTGCAAGTCCAAAGTCTGTGATTTTCACGACGCCCCTAACGTTTACCAACACGTTGGACCCCTTCAGATCTCGATGCAGGACCTTTTTCGGAACGAAAAACTATTTTTTGTCCGGGCACGAGGAAAAAAAAAAAAAAAAAAAAAACCACGCACGACCAAAGATAAACAATTCATCCAACCTTGCGAGCGTGAATGTAGGACAGGCCATCGAGTATTTGTTTGAAGGTAGCTTTGATTTCGCCCATCGAGAACAACAGTTCGGGGTTGAAGACCATGTTGGCGAGTACGAACTCGCAATACTCCAGAACCAAGTATACCGACGGGTGCCATTTGTTGTTCCCGTTGGCTGTATATAAATGCAAGCAAACGTCACACGCGCGTGTGCGTCCTTCGTTACGTGTGTTTATACATACAACAACAATTATGATTTATATGTATTCGGTGTATGGGTATAATATATGTTTACATTGCGATCGGCACACTTCCAATAGTTGAACGATGTTTTCAGCTTTCAAGCTTTGCAGGATTTTGATCTCACGCAGGGCCGTCATTGGAAACTATGTATTATGGGTACAAGTATACATAAGTAGTACATAAACCATGGGATGAGAATTTCAATATTTTTTTTCATTTTTGCCTATGGTTGGTAATAAATTGAGGGAACAACTTACTCCTTCTTCGTAGGAGGGTCTTGTGTACTGTTTTAGGGCGACGACACTGTTGAAACTATCTTTGGTTACTCCTTTGTAGACTTTTCTAAGAAAAATAACGAAAAATCTTGATGAAGAAAAAAAAAAATAATAATAATAAATAAAAATATCTTGAGAATTGATGAAATAATGGATTACGATAATCATAATGTAATTCTCGACTACGAAGCGACCGTGAAAAGGAAAAATAAGAATAATAATCTTACCCATACGTGCCTTCGCCAATCAACGCCGTAAAGTTGTACTTGGAAGTAACTAAACTACAAAATGGAAAGTCGTAAGTTTCAATGTATTTTCGTTTAAATTTGCTCATACTTTTTTTCTCACTTTAGTACAATGAAACCCGAAATGTTCCATTGGTAAGCTACTATGTACGTTACTCGACTATATGTAAGCCCGTACCTGCGAACTCGAGTGAATTACAAACAACAATAAGTACTTAACACAAGAGTTGGATACTACATCGCCGAAGCTAATCCAGGGCCATCCCATCGACACACACTCAATCATCAAAATCCAATCTATTAGACGCGGATTGGATATTACTGCTGATTAGGACGATTAATTTATATTGCCCTATTGACGCGTACAGTTTACCACAATCATGGGTAATAAACAAAGTTTTTTGTTTTTATTTTTGTACGAAGTTTCATGAGCCATTTTCTCATGATTCCAGATATAATATTCTTTATCAATTCTGGAAAAAGGGATTTTTACATTTTTAGAGAATACTATTGTTAGATGTTTCAAATAGGTGAGGCTTAATATTTAAAAAATTACTTTTAATCACTTAGACTTACGGTATGCCGTAAAAACGAGCACAAGATTTTTCAGAGCACTCAAAAAATTAGGGAAAAAGTGTGGTAAAATTTTCAAGAGAAGTAAAAGCAGATTTTTTTCCATTAAACTGATGTTACTAGTTTGTTTGTTTTTTTTTTTTTTTTTTTTTTTTTTTTTTTTTTTAATTGCGTTAGGGTGATGATGCATTGCGATGAAGAACAATTTTTGGTACTTTCCCTACCGAACCGCTTTGAGATTAATTTTCGCTGTTATTTGTCAATTTTCTTAACTCATGGCGTTGTTCGCAGCTTTTATCGAGTTATTTTATTTAACGAACGTTAATTCACCCCAAGTTTTTTTTTTTTTTCACGCAATCCTTCTACAAATGCTATATAGTCGCGGATCAAGTGCGTCTCATCGGACCAAAAAAAGCCCACCCACTGTATCCGTAAGTAATAATCACCCGAACCATACTTAGAATGAGAAAAAAAAAAAAAAAAAAAAAAAAAAAAAATTACA